CACCCTGTATATATATAATAATAATGATGACAATTCAGAACTTGAAACCCATCTATTTGAATCACGGATAAATCGTAATTTAAATCTGATGGTCTGGTAGAAGAGTAATTTTAAAAAACATTAAAAAATTATCAAATGTGACAAAGATATATTTAAGCATTCCAGTTACATCTGTTAGTGAAATGTTGATCTATTAATATTTTTATATCAACATTAAAATGTAATGCAAAAAATAGCGACCATACAGAATTTAAGAATCATTATCGATAATTAAGAATCATTTCTGTCAATAAGGGAAATCCTACTTCTGCGATGGCGTTAGAATTGGTAAGGATCGGTCTTACACTTTGCTCACCGGACTTCTTCTGAGCAATGTATAGTACGTATCATTTCATTTCTTAAGAAGTCGTGGGCCTGGTTACCAAATTTGAATGCGAGATTCCAGATTGGTAGAGCGGGGGCAAGTAGTTTGGCAGAGCGAGGCTCACTGCCTCTACTCCTGCGGTGAAGTCGGAGCTACTCAAAATCACTCGACCAGCTGAAGGGTGTCCCTATTGTATTTCCGTTCGCTGCCGTGTTTGCATCGCGTCACGTTGCGTCCGTAGCTAAGACATGCAGTAAATACAATAGGGACACCCTCCAGCTCTCCGAGTATCTCCGACTGCGCCGCACGAGGCGAGGCAGTGAGCGTCGTCCCGCCATAATAATACATACTTGCCCCCACTCTACTAATCTAGAATCTCGCACCGAAACCTGGCAACCAGGCCCACGACTCACTAATAGCAAATTGAAGCTATAGCAATTTAGTCAGTTATTGTGTGTGCGATCAGTAAGATTTAATCTAGTAGGTTATTAATGAAATTTGCTCGAATTTCGAGATTCGTTCCAATGAATCAACTGTACTAATCGAAATACTTCTCCATTTACTAAACTTTTTATTAGTAAATAGCTACTCGTCACTCCACAGAATTACAAACCGTATCTGAGCAGGGCTGTAAAATAGTTCAAATACGGTTAGGAATTTAGTAGAATGATGAGAAATTTAGAAACTTATTGTACACGAACGCTAGGATTTAGTAGTAGGATCGAGTAGCTTATTAAAAAGATTTAATCAAGCTGATCAACTTGATCATTTCTATGGATCAACTGTACCAATCAGGACACTTCTCTATGTACTACATGTGTATACTGTTTAGTAGTGAGAAGCTACTCGTCACTCTATTCAATTACTGGCCGCATCCGAACCGGCCTTATCAAAATATGCATGCATTCTGTAGAAATAACTGCAATTACTCAAGATAGTAATCAGTTTAATCATTGACGGTTCATTCTCACGATTATAGTTACAGCATAAATAAATTTAAATCCGCGCAGTGTATACCATAAAATATGGTATATATAAATAAATAAATATGTGAACCGCTAAAAAAAAACGTTATGCTTAACGTAAACTGGCTAAAAATTATATCGACCTCTTTCCGTTGCTGTATTCAGGAATAATACTTGCGGTAGCCTCGTATTCGACAGAAACAAAAGGAAATGACTCTCTTCCTGACCATCTGGACTACGGAAACTTTAGTTATGCGAATACGAAGGATAATGGTTGCGTGATCTCTGCAGGAGTTCCGAGTTCGACGTCAGACGCCTTATGTTCTCCCATACCAATGATTGTAGAGTAGAGCTAACACAAAACTTGCGCCGCAAAACAAATTGGCGGACTACGGCGTTTTATTTCCACTACGCTAGCTCGGTCATCTGTTTCACACTCGTTCTTCTGTCATCTCCGTTTTTCGATGCTTATTTTTTGGAGAATTTCGAGGCCTGTCGACCTTTTTCTCCTTGTTGAAGCTATGCACTTAAAGCTGTTCGCGGACTGTGTTATAGTTGCACGATCGCCAGATCGCTGTAAACATTTTTATCCAGGTAAGAAGTTCACCAAGTATTAACACTATGTTTTGCCAAAGGATACCTTTTAAAATTTTAATGCCGAACCTAGCAAACACTAAAACTGACGGACGTGTGTTGCTTCACAACAATGCAAATTTCTTCTGATAAAATAGATTTCAAAACTTGCTGGTCCACTTTTCGTAACAAATTTAAACATTAAAAATTAATTTATAAAAATTAGACTTGAACAGTAGTTTATTTTTCTCATTATACGGCTTCATTGTTTTAATAATTTTGTTTTATTATTAAAGCAATTTAAAAATTATTATCTTTAGCTTATTGTATTTTATGTACTAGGTTTGTGATTAATAGACTATTGTTTACATAAACAATGTATATATGCATATAAAATATTTATGTACAGTTTAAAAATATTTCAAAAAATAATAAGGTCGATACTATTTTAGTTCATTGCTTGTCTTCTAAAACAATAACTACAAGGAATACTGTTCTACGTAATTTCAGTTTCTTCAAATTTACGAATACAAATATTAATTTATATAAATATTCTCATAATCAAGTAATTGGTAATAATTTGAAGATATAATTTATGCATTAAGATTTGTTATTTTACTCTAGCTCATCGTTTATTAGTTTTCAGGTATTTGAAGTGTTTATATAAAAAATGGAATATTTTCCAATTATTCGTTTCAAAAATTGATGATTTTCCAATTACTCGTACCAAAAATGGAGGATTTTCCAATTATTTGTGGCAAAAATGCAAGGTTCTTGAAAATAATGTAACCAGTATTAGCGTAAATCTAATTATCACGCGCCGATTCGCAACGTCAGCAAACGAGAGAAAGAAGGAACTGAAATGGAAGATAAAAAAGACAAGAAAACTTATAATTACCGAGCTCTCATACGCGATTAATCATACAAATAACAGGTTCGAGAATAAAAATCGCATTAACCCACCTGTCCGCCGATAAGTTTGCACAAGAAGATTAACGAGCCCCATCGTCGGTGTTCAGTGAAAGTGCACGCGCATTCCAATTTGTCGCAGCGTTTCAGATCAATATGCTGTTACATTAGCAGAGTTTTACGCCCTCGTCGTTACAAAGAAATGAAAACAGAGAAAGAAGGAACGGAAATTGAACCGTGATTTGCGACACAGGGCAGGTGCTGTTGCGATATATTATCCACTGTTTCACTGGAGAAAGATACAATTTTCGTTAAACATGCATGTGTATACATATGTATGTACATAACTACAACGATAGTCATAGAAATCGCTTTAGAAAGTAACCGTCTGCGTTTTTAAAGTACCGTTGCATCAGATTATGTAAAACTATTAAAAGATCATGCTACACGATTCAGTGTAAAATACATATACCTAAACGTTCAACGAATTATATTATTATTTTGTTTGAATTCCAATTGTACAGTTTTATTTGCGGGTAGTGTGCACTATATCTCACGCATATAAAACCATGGTAATCTTTTTGTCCTACACAATCAGTCACCGAAGTATGCGAAAAGCTGGATACGATAACTGCGACGTAAAACAGACAATTATTTGTAAAATAATATATTCACATATAGTTTGAGTAGTATTTTCATTTATTTTATTGTCTATCTATTTATATACGTGTATATTTAATACTATGTATTCAGATCATCTCATTTCAGTAAACTAATAAATAGACTACGGATCTCTGTGCAAAATAAAAATTGTCTGCGTCAATTGCAAGACAGGAGCCAAGTGCAACATTTTTCCTTTCTTAAATAATTTTAATAAGTTGGAATTAATAGTCTTTGATCTTTTCAATATATTATGTTTCACCTATGCTAATAAAACATTAATCAAATGTAACTTGATATTAACTAAAATAACTATATTCATCGATACAAATAAGTATTTCGTGACAGATGCCCATTGCACTTCTCTATACAGAATGAATCATCGTAAAATAATCATCAGATTCGGTTTGCTTAAGTAATCAGAAAGTACGCACCTTGATGCTAAATCTGAAGGATGAACGATGTTCTCGTAATTTCTAGTGTGAAATGTGTTTTTGCAACGATCAGTTAAACCGAGTGATTGATGATCATGACTTTTCATTGTATTGGAAATTGCGAATATCACGACAGTTTGTAATATAATGTTTTGCAGATTCTTGAAATTTTCTGATAAATAGTTACATACGGAGAGAACGTGATTAGCAAGAAGTCGTATAACATAGTACTTAATGTTCTATAAAGTACTATAACGTATGTATGTACTTAATTTTGAACCCAGTAGAGAAAACGATATAATTTATGATAAAATAAACGATAGAATAGTTCGTGAACATGAATGATAAGAAAACGTCTTTACATTTACTTTGTAGCGTAATGTTATGGAACAAAGTAAATATGTAGATATTTACATAAGCTGTAAGTTTCGTAAAACAGTAATCGACCAAAATACGAATAAAATCGATATGAAATATTGAAATATGAGCAATTTTGTTGTCCATTGTTGCCACATATGAACGATTACATGATAAATCGTTTTAAATATGTAGTTTCGAAAAGATAAGAAGACTATGTAAATATCATAAAAATTAATGTAGTAGCTATGAAGCTGCTAAAATTTGTAGAAAGATAAGTAACATTAAGGACATCTACTTGCATTGCCATTTCTAACATATACGACCAGCGTAGCAGCCAACGTGTTTCTACAAGCACCTAATTATGTCAACATTATAAACAATTAGATATGCAAGTGTTATTTATGGTTTACGGTTAAATTATGCGCGCTGCGATGCGACCGTAACAAAACGACATTTCCGTTCATCGTTGCCACATAACGAGGTCTCTTCGTGTACGACGCAATGAGTAGCAAGGAAAGAATCACCCTTCTCGAGGAGTGTAATCATAGTGGGTCTAATAGCCCTCTGTGCAACCGGGAGCGAAACAATTTAATATCCTGCAAGCGGTGAGTTTGTTTGGTGAAACATTGTGAAATGAGTGCGGTTTTGTGAAAAGCACGCGACACGGGAGTTGCCATGGAAAGTGTCCGTATAAAAGGCGTTGTCAGTTTGTTTTACCGGTAGACGTCAGTTGATTATGCGGCCATTAGAATGGGTACGTAGATTCTCTTTCAAGTTCGACGAATTCGCTATTCGCAAAGAAATTAGTTATTGCTTATTCACCGTATGCAGTTGGAGATATTGTTGCTGTTCAATTACGTCGCTGGACAAGCCCGACAATCAGTCCGGCAAGCGGGATACGTTTACGACATACCAAATGTACCGTTTTCATTACCAAGTCCTAATTATAATCCGCAAACCTACCAAGCCAATCCCACTCCACCCCCAACAGACGCGCCTTCGTACTTACCACCACCGGTATCGCCTTCACCCACACCCCCGTCTCCGTCACCAAAATATAGTTATCCAACACCATCGACACCTCTTCCAACACCACCACCGCAACCGACCTATGGCACTCCACTACCATCTCCTCCTCCACCACCCCCGCCACCACCATCTCCTCCTCCACCACCGCCGCGGCCTTCAACACCAGCACCAACATATTTACCACCATTCGGTCAAGTGGGACTGCAACAAGGTTTTCAAGGACCTGGCGCCTTTGCAACGAGTACAGCATCAACGATACCCACTGGAGCAGTGAAGATAAGTGGTCCATTAATCGCGGGAAATGGAAATTATCCTACCGCTACGACCGCCGCGCCATTTCCATCGTACAATTCGAGGATCCCTACCACATCGTCGAATTATAATTATCCATCTACAACTCCAAGCTACTCGTCAACTGCCTCAGCATTTAGTTATTCATCCACGCCTTCCACTCCGAGTTATAACAATGCACCCGTTAAAATAAGTTTGCCGACACTTGCTTATCCGCAAACAACATCAAGGCCTGCACCACAACCTAGTTATCCCTCGCAACAACCAAGCTACCCTACCCCGCAACCTAATTATCCTCCTCCACAGCCGATGTACCCCCCACAGCGACCAAGTTATCCCGCACCGCAACCCAATTATCCTCCTCCACAGCCCAAATATCCTCCTCTGCAACCCAGTTACCCCACGCCACAACCTAATTATCCTCGTCCACAGTCTACGTATCCTCCTCAGCAACCGAACTATCCCGCACCGCAACCTAGTTATCCCGCACCACAACCTAGTTATCCTTCTCCGCCACCTAAATATCCTCCTCAGCAACCGAGTTACCCAGCACCACAACCTAGCTATCCTCCTCCACAACCTAAGTATCCACCACAGCAGCCGAGTTATCCCGCTCCACAACCTAGCTATCCCCCTCCACAGCCTAAGTATCCGCCACAACAGCCGAGTTATCCTTCTCCGCAACCTAAATATCCTCCTCAGCAACCGAGTTATCCTGCACCACAACCTAGCTATCCTGCACCACAACCTAGCTATCCTGCACCACAACCTAGCTATCCTTCTCCACAACCTAAATATCCTCCCCAACAACCAAGTTATCCCGCACCACAACCCAATTATCCTCCTCCACAACCTAAATATCCTCCGCAACAACCAAATTATCCTGCACCGCAACCCAATTATCCTCCTCCACAACCTAAATATCCTCCGCAACAACCAAGTTATCCCTCACCGCAACCCAATTATCCTCCTCCACAACCTAAGTATCCTCCGCAACAACCAAGTTATCCCTCACCGCAACCCAATTATCCTCCTTCACAACCTAAGTATCCTCCTCAGCAGCCAAGTTATCCTGCACCGCAACCCAATTATCCTGCACCGCAGCCCAGTTATCCTCCACCACAACCTAAGTATCCTCCGCAGCAACCGAGTTATCCCGCTCCACAACCAAGCTATCCTGCCCCAACTCCTAAACCAAGTTACCCATCTCCACCTCCTCAACCGAATTATCCTCCGCAAACTCCCAAACCGAACTATCCACCTACACAACCTAAATATCCCCCTCAACAACCAAGCTATCCAGCGCCGCAGCCTAATTATCCTCCGACAACTCCCAAACCAACTTACGGTGTTCCCGTTTCTCAACCCAGTTATCCTGCTCCAGCACCAACACCAAGTTTCCCGTCTCTACCATACCAACCTTCATACCCTTCTCCTAAACCGAGTTACCCTGCACCATCTCCGCAGCCTAACTATCCTATGCCTCGGCCAACATATCCCGCTCCCGCTCCAAATGTGAATTATCCTGCACCACAACCTCAACCTAATTATCTTTCTCCGGTACAAAAGGTAGTAAATATGTACAATTATCCCTCGCAGAATGAGGGTTTCGCAGGTCAACAAAATATGATATACCTTCCACCTTAAATATCTATCTCTCACAGCAACGGTAATTGCAATGAACATATGCTGAAACAAGAAATCATAACCTGCGAACAATCTGTAGCAGTGAACAAGAACTACTGATCCTATTGTTTGAAATTATTGTAATTTTATTAGAATGACTTAAATTGCAAATATATATTTTTTTTATATAATGAACATTTTATGTTCAGAAATATTCCATTGTATTCAACGAGCAAATAGTTTGTAATTAATCGTTTATTTCTGGAATTATTCAGAAAGGCAATGGAAATTATTTAGTAAAAATACATTTCATATAATTTAGTGCAGAAGAATTTAAACTACTCGTGTAGGAAGTAGAAATGTATTAGATTTGCAGCTCAAAGTAATTTAAAAATTGGAAAATGTGTTAATAACGCAATGTAGTCAACCATTGCACAACTATAGTTTTAATAAAAATTTTGTCGCAAAAAGATGCAAAATACTTGTGTAGCTCAAATTTCTTTTTGCATATTACGAATTTCCTAGCGGCCGAGTCAACAAACATGTATATAATAATATCTAACTTGACACAGAAAGCAAATTAACCGTATACATTCTTTTATTAACAAAACCAGGTTTATTTTAAATACAGTTTGTACGATACCAGCTAATGCGACTACAATGAATATCACAGCATTTCTCAGGTAGACATTCTAAATGTCAGTCTCAGTAGCTTAAACGGGAAATTATAAGTCAACTAAGTACTATGCTTATAACTAATTGAGTAGTGAGTAAAGGATGAATACTCAACCTAGATAATCATATCTGCTCCGCATTTCGCTTTGTATAGCACGTATTAAACAAAAAGAATATGTTTCGAGACAAAACATACGTTAAATCCGCGCTACACTAAATTAAACAGCCATAATCCAACGTGTTAGCGTTCTACATCTAACGGGATATGACTATATACAATTTCGTTATAGTTACTATTGTTACACTTATGATCAATAATGATCTGCTTACGCTACAATACAAAAACGCATTCGAACCAAATAAGTCTTTCTAGATAAAAACTAGAAACAAACCATTTAACTTATGACACTTACACAAAATATAATATATTAATCGCGACCAAAACATGCATTTTATTTACTCTTAAAATGACCTATATTGCAATCAATTAAATTATCATGAAAAAAAAAATTCGATTTGTTAAGTAGAATATAATTAAGAATTAATTACTGTAGGTCTCAATTATCAAATGAAACTTACATGTTGCCCGCGAAATAATTAATCTCATTAGTCTGAAGCAGAAATTACAGGAATACTCGCATCTTCTCTTTAGTTAAAAATATGGTTAACCGATATCACAATTACTGTCACAAAAAGAAACAGTTTCTATAAAAGAAGCTTGAACATTCAATTTATATGCGTGACACGTTGGTTACGTATTATTCATTAAATCTTTTTCTATAGTATGACGAAACATTATATATATACATTTGCATCGAAGAAAAATTGAATCATTCGAGATTACTATCGCCATGTAATAACTGAATATTTATGATGCACATGTTTATGAATTATAATAACATTCTGATTTATACATGTACATAACATACAACTTTTACAAAAACAGATTCGATTCGTTTGTTAAAAACCTAATACAGGTAGTGTAGATTTTTTCAATTACGGGTGAATTTGATTTATCTGATTCAGCTTGGTCTTTTTATTCGTCTCCGGTTTCCGATAATTTGTCCAGACAATCGTAAGATTTTGATTGAATGATGTATCTGCAACAATAATAGTTTTATATTATGAATTAAAATAATATATATTTAGTAGAAAAATTGTGATTAATTTAAGTAACATGTTAAATAACTATTCGGTTCTTTTCATCATTTGGAATATTCCGGAGCTCTTATTATTCAATATTGTAAATAAATGTATAAGATATTTATTCTATATAATCGCATAAATCACAATTTACATGAAACATTTTACATATCAATATTCCCATTGAATTATTAATAAATGATTTAAAAATAATTTAATGTTTTAAGATTTCCATGATTTCCAGAACCTAAAGAACCGTGGTTTACCCCAAAGCAAAGCTCTGTTAGATATTATGCTTGCGCTAATTGAGACCCATAGTCGACAAGTGATGTATGCTATTGCTTAACATTAAATATTTAGAGTAAACTACCATTTTCGGAAATACATTGTTTTCTGTAACTATACGATCATATTTTTCGTTTGTGAATATCCACTTCTGCTATACATTCTGATTCTGATATACAGACTCAGACTAAATTTTAATTTCCATAAGATTGTACAAAGTGACTCACATCGCGTATCGACTAAACAGATTTGTTAAAATGTTTCTAATAAAGCAAAGCACCAAAACTAACCCAGAGTATTATAACCATCAATACTATTATCGCCTGTAACTCAACCGTTTGTGCGTTGGGTCTCGTCGACCCACGTGGAGGATCATTTTCCCAGCTTTTGCAGCTTTGAATGTTTGCAAAGCTTTTGCGTGCGTCAGTCCATCCATGGATGATCCATTGATCGCCAAAATCTCATCCCCAACTTTAAGAGTGCCATCTTCGGCCGCTTGGCCACCAGCCATGATATCCTTCACAAAAATACCCATGGATCCTTTATTACTATCCGATCCTCCAACGATCGAGAACCCCAATTTTTTTCCGGAGCCCTTTTCCAGTGTAATGGTCAACAAGTCCATCGAGAGACTAGTCGCCCTTCTCGGACAGGAAACCGGATTCGTGCTACGTTTCCGCACCACCTGGAACTTTCTCATACCAGTCATCTTTTGGTCCGATTCCTTTTTTAGTTCACAATCGCTATCAATTCGCTCCATCACGTTCGAAGATGAACTATTTCCGTCCTTCATCAGTGCTCCGACGATCGTGCACTTGGACGGACCTTCCTGCGTGATAGTTTTGACAGACGCAGGTATATCTACGAGTTTCTCTTCCTTCAGTGTCCACACTTCGGAGTCGCTTCGAGTCCGGACCAATATATCACCCCACGTATCACCCAATTCCTCCCCGAATGTGAAAGTTGGTTCCCTTGCGATTTGCAACTCCACGGTTCCAATGCAGGCGTGCAGCGCTCTTCTAGCTTCCGCGATTGACATGCCGCGCAACCTACGCCCGCAAACGCGTACAATTTCATCGCCGATTCTGAATTGCTTTGACTTCGCTGCTTCCCCGCTTGTGTCCATCTTCGAGATTACATAAAATGGTCTTACGGCTTCTCGTCTTTCCACGGATATACCGAGACTTCCCGGCTTGTCGATAGAAAGTTTCATCGTCTTCAATTCTCGACGGATGAGAGTTTTCGCTGGCGTGGGAGGAACTTGCTTGTTTTGCGCGGGTCTCTTCACTTTATTACTGACAGTGGCTATGTCATCCCGTTCCATGGTTGACCGCGACCTCTTCGGGCTGTAATATTGCAGCGGATCGGTCGAGACCGTTGCACAGATTTTCGATGCCGGTGGACTGTCCTTGCACGGAGAGGCTGCATTGTCCAACAAAATAAGATTGCTAGGACTCCTGTACTTGCCAGATTTCAATGGTATGTGAGACCTGGTTACTTTCTGTGGTTTCTGTATCTTTACTGTTTGCGAAAATGACATCGACGGTTCGGATTTAGGAAGCGTTCCTTTCTCTGGTATCCTAGACAGTTCACTGTTTTCAGTCGGAGAAGTTTTAGATTCTTCGAGATTATTACTCGTCGAAAATGGATGTGACGTAGATGTTTTTGAAAGACCAGTATTGCATTTTGTTAAAGTGTTATCATACTTCGGATACTGCGTAGCGTAGTTCATCTGGAATTCTGCGAATCCTTCGAAAGTTTCCTCGTCGCAACTATCCGTGTCATCTCCGTCCGAGATCAGTGCAGTCATGTTCGTTCTTGTGGATTCGTTTGAGATGCTCTTATCAAGAACCACAGTTTCGTCGAGACGGGAAGTACCTGTCTCGATTTCATCGGCTCCCGCCTCCGCTTCCGTATTACATGGTGTATTCATTGGTAATGACAAATCAATTCCATGGTAATCGTCGGATGTTATGGAGAAGCTACGGGGTTTCAACATCGGCGGTACAGACTTCTCGCTATCCGGAGAATCTGCTCCAGCTCGAGTACTGTCCGAATCATAACCGCTTTCATCGCAGCCTAGTCGCAAGTTGTTCATCAGATCTTCCAACCCTGTTGCTGGCCTGGGTCTTGATGCGTCGGTTCTGTAAATGAGAGCAAATATGTTTACATAATGAAATGATATTGTTTTCGGATGTGGCCAAGCAAACGATGTCAAAAACAAATAAATTCTTACTTATCGCATTCGCTGCTGCCGGTTGTTCGAATATTGAACAAGTTCTTCTTAATATTATTGAATTGAGTGTTAAGGAACTCTTTCGTTTGCGTCGATACGCTACTTTTACTGCCGTCCGACGTTAGCTGACTAGTTCGTTTCGGACTGACGCTCCGCTTAGCCTTGTCTAAAGTTTCTTTCGCTAACGCCGATCCTTCTTGCGTCTTCAGTATATCCTGGTTCTTCAAAATATAATCCAAAACGCGTTGTTGCTCCTGGAGATCATGTATACTGCGACTCAGATGCTTCTTCTTTTCGTAAAGAAGTGTACCGCGGTCTAGCTGACTGTCATCCGAACTGATTCGGAAGGGTGTCTTCTTCAATGCTCCCTCGCTCAGAGCCTTTTCCATTGGGTAATGACTGATGCCAGCGATATCCTCCTCTTGAATCGTTACGCTTCTTGACGACACGTCACCACCTAGGAAATTATTACTTCGTTCGCTACTCCTGAATAAGTTTCGCAAGGATTCCACTCTGGAGATTCTCTTTGGCTTAGGTGGTTCTAGCGAAGATACACTCACGCCCTGGAATCAAAATATTGTTGTAGATAAAAATAGGGAAATAATACTTTACAGTTGATAGGGCGAATCATATATGGGTGACAAAATTTTATGTTATTAAACTTGAAATTCAGTTTTGATTACAGTGTACTACACTGAGTGTAGTTAACTTCTATGGACACTGGTGTGGTAGCCAACATGTTAAAAAAGATGCACAACTTTGTGATGGTAGATATTTTTTACTCAACTATCGCTGAATTATTCTATCTATATATATCTATAATTATTCTATTTCTATTATTCTATTCTAACTATTCTCTAATTTTCATTGTAATACACACCTTTGATTGCTTGGCTAGAGGCATAATTCGCTACATAAAAAGAAACTGGAAAGCTGTAAAAAGCTTTTGAGCGTTCTATTTTTAACGCGAATATACGCAAAAACTTGTGTATTCATTGTGTAGTACAATAATCAGCCTATCACCTAAAAAAGAATTCAAGTCATTTGGTCCAATTTTTAAAAAGTTATTCCTCTTTAAACGATGTCTGAATATTATAGAGAGTAACTATATTATTAGCTTAATCAGATATGATATAGATCGGTGGTTATTGACCTTTGATCCAAGCACGGTTTAGCAATTTTCTGTCGATCCGCAATAAACTTCAATTAACAGTTGAAATCTTTAAATATTTTTACAAAAATAAGTTTAATAGTGGAACGAGGTATTTATGTTTACACTAATCCACATATGTATAAATGAATCATTTATTTAGAAAGTGGCCTAAGTTCATTTACTTTAAAATCTACATATTTTAGGATTTTGCGTTTTAATAAATTAAAAAATAATAGTAACTGATAACATGGTAATATAATGTTTTTGTGTTTCTAATGGTTATTGCATTCTAGAGGTTTCGCTGAAATTAAATTATTGTATATAACGAAGAAATGTAAATATTAAAATAGCTAGCTCGACGTTTTTGAAAAATGGACTCAGGCCACTTTCGAAATAAACGACACAAATATTGAAAACCATAATTGAAAGTCGCATAATCTTGAAAATTGGATATTTACTTTTTCTTTCTCGTCTGTAACATTATTGCCACAGTTTTTCCGATTCGGACTCCATCGTCTTCTTCGACCCGAAACTGAAAGTAACTCTGAACTATCCGATCTCTTCAGTTGATCCCATCTTCGACCTACTTTCCTTCCCCATGTTGAAATTCCTGCGAAATGGATGGGTAACATTAATTTTTGTCTCTCAATGGAACGAGTACAAACATTAGGGTCTCAACGAACGTTCTTGTGTCGAACAATTTGACGATTTACTTTTGTTAGTAGAATATTACATTTTTTTTGACAATCAATAATTACAATATTTCATTTTCTAAATGCTGAATACTATGTGAAACGGTCTCAACTTAGAGGAAAATAAAATCATTAATTGCAACACTGAATTTGAACAAAATAGGTGAATATAGTAATTCTGTGTAACATATGGCTGTACTTCAGAAAATAGGTCACACTCAATTAGGCTGAAATTTTGCGAATAATTTCATTCTTCATAAAAACGATGTTTGCCAGGAGAATTTTCCACGACTCGTAGTTTAAGGCCCAAAATTTTGCGAAGAATGTTTTTGACGTTTTAGTGTAATTTTTAAAAGTTCTATGCTTCGATATCGCTAAAATTCTGAAAACAGGTACTTCTTAGATAAAAACAATGTTTCCGAGACGAATTTTTGGCGATTTTCAGTTAAAATAGGCAATTTTTTGAAAAATGGATTACCAAAGTAATGTTACTTTCTGCGTTACCGATAGAGCCCTGTGCCGTTTGAATTAATTCGTGAAGGCTATCTTATAATTGATGAAACGAGATTGACTATAATTGATTATACGAGATAAGATACGAACGTGACTCGTTATTTTTATGTTTTGTTTATAAAACACGAGCCTCGCTTGATAAATAAAACTAACGATCAAATTTATTAAATAAGCTTTTTAATCCTAGTATTTTAATTTGGACAAGCTGCCGTAATAATCGAAATGGATTTTAGGATAAGACTAGTTATAATTTGTAGTATTGTACATATACACGGTCGGCCGGAATTCGTAGTACAATAGAGCAATGAATGATTCTGCGTGAAAAAATGAAAAAAAAATTTGGTATAACATTATTCGTTACGAATTATGCAGTAAACGGAGTGTTTCCATCATTCTTTGTCATAAATTCTATGTACTACATGGGCCTATGCCCGTTTATTAGTAAATAAACAAATAACTAAATAAATAAATTATCAATGTTTCTAAATATTGTCTCAAACGGATGCAACTGCGATAGAAGAATATAAAACTAAATCCTTTACAAAGATAAACAAACTTTAAAATCGATTTTTTCGAAAACAGAGCCTCGGATAAAAAATGTTCTTATTTTTTCACATAGAATCACTCCGAATCAGCATTTAGAATCAATCCGTGCTCGGTTATGCTACGAATTTCGGCCCACCCTGTATAGTATAATAAAAGCCTCACACCGTTCCTCAAAATGAGCTTTTGTTCTTAAGATATTTCACTTGAAAGTTTTATTATAAGTATAGGCAACGTTGACCACATAGACACTTTGTTAGTCGCACGTATCTACGCTTCTGATAATGTTTTCATTGCAACAAATCTGAAACTGCCCGCGACTGTCTTCTATAAATAAATTTTCTATTGAAATTCTATTAAAAATCTATTACAGTTTAAAATTTATTAGCGTACAGGAAAGAAAACTGAAAATGTCAATGTATCGTTTTCGAAGTCTTTACAAATTGATTTTCTAGATCAATCTTTGTTCTGTACATGCTCGATTTTATTTTATACATGCACGTGTTTATTAAAAAAACACTACCTTTGCGATTGGCGATGCATGTCTGCGACGAAGATGATATCTGAGGATCGCAAGCTACTTCTTTGGTGGAAGTTCGTTCCGATCCGTCAGTCTCGTCTTGATCTTTCTTTCTTGTTCGGTCAGAATCCTCAACGACTATTGCCGGAGGCGCCGTTCCATCTTGTGATAACGGTGTTGCCGAAACTAGCTGCGGACTGGTATCAGAGGACTGCCGTTTGAACAGACGCATCGCGATAACCTGCAAGGCGAATGGTAACGCAGTGATCATAAAATGGATGTCTTAAGAAAAAGAGTGAATGAGAATTAATGATTCTTTCTGTCAACTATTTATCTACGAAAGCGATGAAGTGGCGACTCACTGAACCAAATTAATCGTCCTTCGTGACTATCGCACCGAAACGTCTGTAGTTTCTAACCGCCAGAACCGTGTACATTATCAAAATAATATTTTTATCTTCGGGTCAATAGAATTTTTCAAGATTAATTCGTCAAGCGATTGTGAAGAAATTAATGTATATCTTTTTGCATGAAGCATAATTTTACATACAGTGGGTAACAAAAATATGTAAACACCATGATGCGTAATGGTTAAATAGATTTAATTCAAATGTATGCTCAACGTCACCTGCAACAAAAGCAGGTTACATACATCGTACCGATACTCCATTTAACAGTTAGCAACAATTGCTACATTTATGACAAACGATTAACTATTTTGGGTACGCCCGTTTTTGTAATCCCGTCTCAAAATATAAACATTGAATATGAAACACGGATATGTGCCTGGTGTACCATAAATCGGAACAATGAACAAATTCAGGTACACGATATGGAACGGTATGTTAGAAATACCCGTATTTGAATAAACATTTCATTCTACGGCTGATGGTTTCATAACAGTATTTGCGTGAGCGACTTTATAGAGAACAATGTTCAAAGATATGGGTAGAATTTTTTACATTCACTTCACATGCTCTATCAATTTTTTATCGCATTACTTATGCTATTGTTTCAGGAAGGGGTCACAATTCAGGGGTGTTTCATAATAGGTACTTTTACCTTATTTCCGGCTCGAATTCCGTAAAATATTTGAACGATTTCGTTTGAACTCTCTGTTTAACGGATAGAAAGTAACGAGAGGAAACGAGTGCCGGATAAGAAGACTTGCTCTTCGGCAAGTGATCGAACCGCAAAAAGAACAACATAAATCGCCGATCATCGGGGAGAGGCTCGAAGATCGGCAAATGCCCAGATCATCGTACGATCACTTTCCCAGCATTCCATAGACGTTTAGCAACGTGTTTCCTGCTGCAATCTGTTTGCGAGCGAAAGAGGAGAAGTCTCTCCTACTCGCGCCAACATTGCGTCTCGACCACGCGAACGCCTTCGCGGTCGATCATGCATGCACGGCCCAGCTTTGCGTTACATCCAAGTTATGTTAGATCGCATCCGTCGCGAAAATGGTTAAACATTTTTCCCATAGGGTCACTCGCGCATTGCTGTAGCAAGTCCGTGCGACGCTTCCTGAGTCATTAACACTCGAACTGCTGGGCTCGGATCCATTTAAACTCAGGATATAAATATTATTATTCGTTTATCTAGCTTACAATAATTATTTGAGATATTCACATATTCCATTAAGATCTATAGAAAAACAAATCCGTATAGGAGAGCCATGAAAAATATATAGATAAAATTAAATAAAATTTTAAACGATCGCGAACATTCAAGTTATACTTTTATCGAAAATGTCCGCCTATATAGTAAATCTGGTATTTTTCAATATCTTGGAGCGCGTGATTTCCCACCCATTTCTATATAACTAGGGTTTCCGTATTTCAGCTTTATTTCAGACTTTATATTACCGGCCGATACGAATGCCTCGTAAACCCTTACATACATCTTAATAAAATCTGTAACTCCACTAAACGCAGGAAATTTTTACATATTTTACGTAGCCTATAACACAGTGGCTCACGGAAGTATGTACTTGTGTGCTCCTTCAAACAGAATACTGTAAATTCTCCCTACTTGATGCTCAGATTGTACACAAANGAAACACGGATATGTGCCTGGTGTACCATAAATCGGAACAATGAACAAATTCAGGTACACGATATGGAACGGTATGTTAGAAATACCCGTATTTGAATAAACATTTCATTCTACGGCTGATGGTTTCATAACAGTATTTGCGTGAGCGACTTTATAGAGAACAATGTTCAAAGATATGGGTAGAATTTTTTACATTCACTTCACATGCTCTATCAATTTTTTATCGCATTACTTATGCTATTGTTTCAGGAAGGGGTCACAATTCAGGGGTGTTTCATAATAGGTACTTTTACCTTATTTCCGGCTCGAATTCCGTAAAATATTTGAACGATTTCGTTTGAACTCTCTGTTTAACGGATAGAAAGTAACGAGAGGAAACGAGTGCCGGATAAGAAGACTTGCTCTTCGGCAAGTGATCGAACCGCAAAAAGAACAACATAAATCGCCGATCATCGGGGAGAGGCTCGAAGATCGGCAAATGCCCAGATCATCGTACGATCACTTTCCCAGCATTCCATAGACGTTTAGCAACGTGTTTCCTGCTGCAATCTGTTTGCGAGCGAAAGAGGAGAAGTCTCTCCTACTCGCGCCAACATTGCGTCTCGACCACGCGAACGCCTTCGCGGTCGATCATGCATGCACGGCCCAGCTTTGCGTTACATCCAAGTTATGTTAGATCGCATCCGTCGCGAAAATGGTTAAACATTTTTCCCATAGGGTCACTCGCGCATTGCTGTAGCAAGTCCGTGCGACGCTTCCTGAGTCATTAACACTCGAACTGCTGGGCTCGGATCCATTTAAACTCAGGATATAAATATTATTATTCGTTTATCTAGCTTACAATAATTATTTGAGATATTCACATATTCCATTAAGATCTATAGAAAAACAAATCCGTATAGGAGAGCCATGAAAAATATATAGATAAAATTAAATAAAATTTTAAACGATCGCGAACATTCAAGTTATACTTTTATCGAAAATGTCCGCCTATATAGTAAATCTGGTATTTTTCAATATCTTGGAGCGCGTGATTTCCCACCCATTTCTATATAACTAGGGTTTCCGTATTTCAGCTTTATTTCAGACTTTATATTACCGGCCGATACGAATGCCTCGTAAACCCTTACATACATCTTAATAAAATCTGTAACTCCACTAAACGCAGGAAATTTTTACATATTTTACGTAGCCTATAACACAGTGGCTCACGGAAGTATGTACTTGTGTGCTCCTTCAAACAGAATACTGTAAATTCTCCCTACTTGATGCTCAGATTGTACACAAAAATGGACAATTTGGGAAGAGGAGATAAGATTATTCGAGCCTTGCGGTCCATTTTTATAATTGTTGGCAATCGATAATTACAACGTTAGCATTTGTATTTATTAATTTTCCTACGGTGATAATATTCGATAGAAAAGTAATTAATAAAACTTACGTTATTATTGAATTTATATAGTCTGAGTCCATTATTTAAAAGCCGATTTCCGTTACTTTACACGAACGGTTTATTTATCTCATTAATTTGTATCAAACGAAAGTACACATAATTATATCGCTCACTGAAGCTTGAAAAATTAAGAAACAAATAGGCTTGTATACCAGTATGTTAATAGCTACACTGGCTTTAAGAGAATTTGCATTTACAAGCGGGATGACTGGCATGAACCGGTAGATTTTTCATTAAACCTGAAGTATGCAATTAATTACGACAATACCCGTGCTACTCTAAGGAGAAATTCATTATTTCAAAACATTCGGTTGATAAAACAGTGTTTTATTTATATCGATAAATATATTTTTCTATATCTTACAAGCACTGATAGTACTTTTTATAAACAAATAAAGACTCAATTATCTTGGTTTTCATACATAGGACTCTCACTTAATCACAAATTCTTAGCATAAAAATATTTTTATATAAAATACAATACAATACGAAGAAATATTTTCACAATACACTATTTTGATATTCTCCCTTCTAGTATCGAGTCAGACTAGTGGCGAGTACAATTTCGAAATCGATTCGAGGTAAATATTTATTCGAGGAATTATTTATTCGTTTCTTTCAAATAAAGCCGATATAAATAGAAAATACTCCTTCATTCTAAGGGACACTCCTTGATTTTATGTGGACATTTACCAATTTTATAGAAACTACGAAATATAATGTGTATTATTATTGTCAAATGATTACTGCTAAATTATATTGTGAATGCATGTATATGCAATATACCTTGATAATATTTAATTGAACAATTTAAGCATTTAAATCCTTTAAATAAGTAAAAGTCTACGCAAGAAAAAAATTTAATAGGAAAAAATTTATTTTTTAAAACATTTATGGGAAGTTTTACAATCTAAGTGGAACCTATTTGACATCGAAGTAATGAAACAACTAACAAGCACACGGCGGATATGTTAATATAAGAAGAAGATATAATTGTTTTTTATTATTATGCGATCTCTAATATTGTACAAACTAGCATACACGATATTTAATCAGATTTATTAAAGATTTCATAACTTTTTTTTCTAGATAGTAATAAGAATTAAAAGGAGGGGTCCATATACTTTTGAGCGGTAGTGTACATGCATAATACATTTGTCTTTGGGTAGAAAGGATTTACTCTACAAACTTTCGCGACTGCTGGTCTAGAATACTGGTTACGATAACTGTATCTGTTCTAGATAACAGACACAGTGATACTGCGTTTCGTGGACGTTAAGTATTATCCTCAAGTCTCAGTTGCTCTGGATAGTAGATGACCTGTACCCTAACTGGTCTAGATACTAGCTTTGTAAGCGTAACGTCTGTCTGACTTGTTACATCTCAAAAAACTGGAGTAATCCTTCGCGGAATGGTTGTTTATTTAAGTGCCTTATACATACCGAATGGGGCAAAAACTATGACCACCTTGAACATCTTCATTATTTCTAGTAATGTGAACAAAACGTTATGCGCTATATTTGCACCGTATAACTTAAACCATGCTTACGTACTTAAAAACTGTTTGCGACAGAATATGACGTTATTGGTACCACGAAAATTTTGAATATGCGATTTTTTCATACTGTTATAAATAACGTAAATATTCAAAATGGATATAATTATTGACCCACTCTGTATAATAGAATTAAAAATATAATGTTCGTGGCTGTATTTTTGGAAGATTAACCCAATGGAAACAGGTACACGCATTCAACAATTAGAAATTATTTTGATCTCGTGTACATTACAATGATCAATGTTATACATTTAAGAATATACTATATTATTCGATAAATATAATGTTAATTATGCCCGGCTCCACTACCCTAGTTCTATAATGTGTATACACCTTCAGATGTCTTGCAAATGCCATTTTGTACGTAAAGTAAATTCTCCCCAATTGTCCGTTAGCTTCTAAACAAAATTCGACAATTTGGGAAGAGGAGACAGTTGGGGAGAATTCACTGTATTTGTAAGTCATCGATTTGATTAAAGGTACGTTCATTGGTTTACGTATTTTTCACACAAAAAATGTTGTACTACATCTTTAAGAAAGGAAGCTATCAAAAACTGCTAGCATTGTGATCAGCTCGGTTGTAACAATATCATTCATGAAATTAAATATCGATCGTTTCAACAAGCATGCAGCTTGAGCGTTCATTCACTGGGCAGGTCACCCTACCTGAACACCGATAGAGTAAGTACACGGTGCGCGAAAAAGTATTTCATCCCCACACGTAGATCGTAACTGCCTGAAGTATTCCATACTCAAAGGGTTCAAACAGAGATCCTCCGCATGATCGACAATTCTCGGGATCGGAAGAAAATACCAGGGGTTTCTGCGTCTCGGTTTTAAAGTGTTTTCATTTTTTACCTACGGTGCGTATATCGAAAAATAAATTTCACGCTACTGAAGAAAAATACTGTACGACAAATATGGTTTATGATTTAAAAAATACGTACTTCTTAAACAATTAATTATAAATTATGTCTCTTTCACTGGCATCGTTTTGTGTATCTTTTTACTTCTCGTATGATTATGAAAGGCTTACCTGTTCTCGCATTGCTTTCATCCTAGAAAAATCATAATGAATGAAAACTAAATTGTTTTTCAAAGAATCAAATTAATATTATATGGACGGCTCAAAAGCTAAACGCACAATGTAAATCCATTAACCTTAATAAGATAAAAATTTTTCAAATTATCTGTAAAAACATAACAGTACCACTAATAATGCAAAGTAGATAGTTTTATTATAACGAAATAAAACGAAATTGATATTAATATTTAATTATTTTATTTATATTTTCATCTTTTTTTATAATCTTTTCTTTTCGTGTTCGTACCGCGTAACTAGTTTCCAAAGAAAAGCAGAGTTGCTCTGATCGACTTTAGAACCGTCCATACAACGAAAACATCGTCAAATCTTTTCGTGCCGCAAACACGAAGTTTCATATTTTCGTTGAGAATGAAAAGAAAGATCGTCGAATAAAGGCTAGATTTTGAAAGTGTTCCGAGCTGTTGCTCGCGGTCGGATCGAACGAATGCCACCCGTTACGTGGACAGCATCGGTCGACCGTTCTGAGACTGGAGAAGAGAGAACAGGGTGTGGAGACAGGAAAAAAGTGGCTGTAGTGTGCCCACGTGTGGCTTGAGCCGGCCGTATAAGTGCATATCGCATACACCACATGCCGTGGTGTGACATGGCGAAGTGCCGCGCATTTTTCCGGGGCCCGGGGCCCTGGACTCGGGTCTCGAGACGAAGCGTGCACAGGAGCTCGCGTGAAAACTGGCCGCGCGCTCGTCTCGTGTAAGCAGCTCACGTGAAACGTTGAACGCGGCATCATATCCGGTCGCGATTACGACGCGACGCCGACGCCGACGCGTCGTTGGAAAAGTCACGGACCTTCGGGATTAGTCGTGAGACTACCTGTTGATGTCTAATGCAAATCCGTCGGTGATTCAAGTAACGCTTTGACTCCCGTATCAACAATCTCAAAAGTTTTACAAAACTATAGCACGATCGAACCTCCTATAACAGGCTACATACTTTGGAAACACAGTGTGAAAATTACGATTTTTTTCTTTCACAATGATAGCAGCAATTAAATTTTTTTATGCTCGAAAATCATATTTTCCCTTTTTTCCCCGTAACGTTGTGTGAAATACTGTTACTTTCGACTGAGTTTTTATTTATCGCATTCGATCAGGTAGTTCGTCAAGAGTGTTAACATATAGCATGGAATAGTCCATTTTTATCATAGTAATTAAACAAGTTATATTTGTAATATTGTTACCTTTATGAATGGGAACCAGAAGGTATACTATAGAAAATGAGTAAATAAAACATAAAAGGTGCCCTTAAAACTTTCTTCGCTTATTATGTCATCAATTTTTAAGATGTTTCTATTCAAGAAATCTTGTTGATTTTTCTCAGTTTCTTCTTTTTGCAAGGATTATTTTTTGTCATAAAATATTAAAATGTGATATTAGCACAAAGATGTAAGAAAGACTGATGTAATTTAAGATTTATAGTGAATTAAAAAAGCCGTACACATAAGATTGATATCAATGTTATTTTATTTTGTTACACTTGATCCTTTCAGAAATATATCTGTCCATTCGATGCAATTAATGGATAATTAGAATAAAATAAATTTTTTAAAAGAGTGAAGAATAAAGTAAGAACTGTGATAAGTAAAAGAACTCATCTTTTTCCAACGTTTCACGCTAGAATTAGATAGGTCGTTTAGTTTTTTACTTAGTGATCTTGTTCTAAATAAAAATGTCCCATTCATGACAGTGCTGCCCTATATATTGCTAGCTTGACAAATAAAAATAATATCGCTACTGTAATTTCAAACGATCAAACAATCAACCTTTCCTTTGTGATTGGCGCAATCTCACAGTTTGTATCGCTTGAAATATTTGGATTAATGTTAATGTAAATTTTTTCGAATAACCCTTCCTCAATACTTTCTTTTACTATGTTCTCATAAATTTGCTGATATTTACTGCAACGTTTCATTTGTCGAAATTCGGAGGCTCGTTGAATATTCGAATGAATGTCTGTTGCACTTCCCAATTTTTTAGCTAATTTAAAAGCTTTACAAAGATTTACTGACTGCGGAAATTCAGATCGCATAAATTGATATCGCGTAAATTAATATCACGTATAAAATGTACCGCGTAAACAGCGTTGCAATTTACCGTGTAAAAAAAGAGACTCGCGAAAATTAAAGAACGAAAAATGTGTGTCATCGAATTAAAAAGCTATATAGCAATCTGGTTGTAAAAGATTATTCTGCATTCTTATCTTACGTCATAGATTTTCTACTTGCGCATACAAGAAATTCTACGTTTCACTTATCAACTAGCAAGAATTTCCGATTTCTAAAGACGGGAAATGGTGTTATTTTTCAATCTCACATAAAATTCTGAATGCTTTCACCCTATCGTCCTCCTTCTTTTTCCGTGATCGGTATACCTACTTTAATTTCTGACCTAATTTCTTGCGATTACACGAGAAAAACATTCCTATCTATCGTCACGCTCGGTCGACTGTTATTTCTATGCACCCGCGACATATACATATTTTACACAGCGGAATATTTTTAACTTTCTACATTCTACATCATGCGACGAGATTGAAAATTAAGGTTCGCTTTCACTGTAACCCTGTACACGAAGTGGAGGATTCGCAAGTTTCTTAATCGGTTGACAAACAGTATCGTTACATCGTTAATCAAATTTCTCTCGACTTTCGCTTGCTTATGTCAAGCACCTTTGTTCTTCAGGCATAATTTTACCTTAAACTGAGGTTCAGATTGCTCGTCAGTTTCTGGTGAAAGACACTCGTCCTTATTGTATATACAATGCCGAGTATATAAATAAGGAAACTTGAAGAACGGTATAATTTTTCTAAAACTCGACTAAATGACTTGAACTTTTTTTAAATGATAGAGGGATCAGTCTACTAAACAATGACTATAATACTTTCTTTTTAAATTTTGCTATTACTTGGAATGACAAAAAGCAAATAAAAAAACTCAAGTTTTACAACTTTCTTATCCGAGCCTATAATGAGAATTTAAAAAATACATTTCGTAGATCTCGGTAAGTTATATGCTTGTTGAAACTTTCATTGAAATCGGTTGCCTTCGGCATAACTTGTGAACAATTAAAGATCGCGAAAATCGCAGTATTTCACGAATTTCAACTGAAACAGGTAAGTTTTACATCTCTCAATGGCTGTAGCTTGACTATAACTTACCGAGTTCTTTTTAAATAAATAGGGTGTTTCAGTTAAAAAAGACCACCTACAGTGCTGTGAATAATTATAAACTCAAAGTAACTTCTACATTTTTACTGATATATTTAAACAAGAAACGAAAAACATCTACATTTGTATATTTCTATTATCTATTAATTATAATATAGAAATGCACAAATATGGTGTTATTTTAAGTTCTTGTTTGAATATCACGAAAAATGTAAAAGTTAGTTTGAGTCTACAATTATTTACATCGCTATACCATTCGTATCTAGCAGATTATGTATTAAATCTTCATCACGAGTCTGACTCGTTATAATGCAAGATGTTAGGTTGAACCTAATTACGCCAGCTAAACGTTTCGTGCTACTTGTCTCCATACACATTTTCTTTGGTGCAAAAGGTAGCGAAGCAACAAAATCTTCCGGAAACAATGCTCTTGTAAGACAAAAACTACTGGCTCTCCAATCGAAAACGTACCTTCATCTTGGCTGGATCGTTCGCAACCCGCGTTAAAAGACACTTCCGCACAGTAATCCCAGCACTTTCAGTGACTTCGGTCCATGGATGATCGGTGGTCGAAAATAAGAACTGTTATTTCCCGCGAGCAACATATCACGCGAAGAACAGCGACAGCATTGGGCAACGTGCAACGAAACGACGCGATCGTCGCCATAAAATAGACTGGGTTTATCGTCCCGATTCCATGAAAACGCGACTCGGCGCGGCGCGGCGCGCAGCAACGTGTAACCGTGTAATGCGATTGGAGCGAGCTACGATTAAACAGCATCAAATTACAAAGAGTGGAAGGGCCACGCAGCACCCACGTCTCCTTTGAGAAAACGCAACGAGCCAGAACGAAGCCAGACAGTGCACCGCCTAACGGGCTTCCTTCTTAACTTTTCATTCATACGCACCGCCGTATACCGAAAAACTCTTTTCTCCCCACCAAGGGTGTACTATGCTGCCGCCTCCATCGTTTCCTCCAGAAATAGATGCATCAGGATGTCGTCGTCTCGCGCGCCGGAAACGCTCGCTTCCCGTCGTGCCAGCTTCCTGTCGCGCTTTCATCTGTTCCTCTTCGGAGGTTTTTTACCATCGTGCTCTCTTTTTTTTACAAAACGAGACTGGCTTCCCATCAGAGAAATCGTTGCTTTTTGCCGTTTGCTCTGCTGGCCTGTTAGAGCGTGAGCCGCGCTAACCGTCGTCGTCTACCACCGACACAGCTGACGGCTCACCTATTTCTAGGTAACGGTGCAAGATCATAGGTGACGCGAGATGCATTACAGTTATGTATATGTATATACCTGGACACGTGCTGGACTTTATTCTACCGGTCGTTTTAAAGGCGACTTCTCCACGAGCCACGTGTTGCAATGGGGATGAAAAATCGACCGGGATACGCAGGATATGCGAGCGCTCGTCGAGGTACCGTAAAATGTGAAATAAGCACACTCATAAGCGCAGTCGTAAGCGCACTCGTAAGGGTACTCGTAAGCGTACTCGTAAGCGTACTCATAAGCGTGCTCATAAGCGTACTCGTAAGCGTACTCATAAGCGTACTCGTAAGCGTACTCGTAAGCGTACTCGTAAGCGTACTCATAAGCGCACTCATAAGCGCACTCATAAGCGTACTTGTAAGCGTACTTGTAAGCGTACTCATAAGCGTACTCATAAGCGTACTTGTAAGCGTACTTGTAAGCGTACTCATCGGAGCACCTCTAAGCGCACATCTGACTAGACACCAAGTAGAATAGAGTGCGACTATCGATACAAAAAAGCCGCCAAATATAGAATACCATTTTATTTTATGCATAGGGGAGACCGCTGACGATTGTAACACGTCAAATATCTAAAAATATATGATAGATATTATTGCGCGGTTCAGATACATAATGTAAAATGACATTTTGAACACATCCATCTATTATACTTAGGTAAATATACATCTGCATAAGAAAGAAAATAGCTACATATTCGGTATCTAAAAGCTAACTTTCCTTACTGCTTTAAAATCGTGATAATAAGTGCTTTTTCAACAAATATATTCTTCCCCTTCTTGTTTTAAATCTCTAATTTTATATATCTTACAGAAATACTCATAGTTATTTTGCATTAATCAGCATAATATAGATAACAATTTATAATTAAAGTTTGAAAGTGCGATTGGCGACGACTGTAACACCGACAGTCGAGTCGATTGTATGCGATTTCTACTGCTAATTCTCTTCTTCTTATAATTTAAATAAGTATCTATATTTATTACGTTAACTAATAAATTAAAAATTGCTATAATTTAATATCATAATTAAAGTTTTAGAGTGCCTCGTACAGAAATTAGAAAAACTAATAAAGGAACCACGGATATAAAAGCATACGAAGATAAGGCTAGGAACCTTATAACACAAGCAAAAATGAAAAATTGCTTCAATGTTGTGGCTGTAATGATTGGGCACATAAGAAATGCCATGCCGTGTTACAACCGACCCAGGGTCAGGTTCGGTTGTAGCATTTTACTCGCTTTTCATATTTTATTAATAACTTGGATATTCCTTAATGCACAGCAAAACCGCTGTAACTGAATAATCTCAGATAAGTAGGTGAGAGATACGTACAATAATTGACGTTGTAAATACAATAGCTTGTGTGTAATTGTGTTGTAAAATCAAAGTGTTACAACTGTCAACGATCAAATGGACAATTTAGGAAGAGAAGATACGTTTATTCGAGCCTTGCGATAACTATAAAAAAGAGCCGCAAGGCTCGAATAATCGTATCTCCTCTTCACAAATTGCCCATTTTTATGTACAAGCGAGGAGTCAATTAGGTAGAATTTACTGTATATCTCGTTTCAAGTTTCGCATGCAACTGTTTTTGTCACACATGTCTATTAGGTGAACGTGTTTCCGAGATTTTTTTTTATACTTATATTTTCTAATCAGCACTCACTTTTTCTTCCGCACTCACGTTATTTTTTAAGAATAAATTTGCTGGCTTTAACTTCCATTAGTAAATAAAACGTTGTGGTATTAGAAGAGTTACTAAGAGTTACTCATATTTTTAAAAAAATTGTTGCTTGAAAATTTTACTACTTCGGCGTTATCTTGAAGTTGTCGGATNGTTTCTTTTTTTAAATTAGATATTATCTTCAGATCCGGTAGTTTCTGTTTCGGAATTCGCGCGGTTTCATTCGAAGACATCAGAGATATTGGACCGATTTGAATTCCCTACTTCCTGCGAAAAATCTTCGCTGACTTTTCCTGAAATCGTTAACTATAAAAAAGAGCCGCAAGGCTCGAATAATCGTATCTCCTCTTCACAAATTGCCCATTTTTATGTACAAGCGAGGAGTCAATTAGGTAGAATTTACTGTATATCTCGTTTCAAGTTTCGCATGCAACTGTTTTTGTCACACATGTCTATTAGGTGAACGTGTTTCCGAGATTTTTTTTTATACTTATATTTTCTAATCAGCACTCACTTTTTCTTCCGCACTCACGTTATTTTTTAAGAATAAATTTGCTGGCTTTAACTTCCATTAGTAAATAAAACGTTGTGGTATTAGAAGAGTTACTAAGAGTTACTCATATTTTTAAAAAAATTGTTGCTTGAAAATTTTACTACTTCGGCGTTATCTTGAAGTTGTCGGATTTTTTCAGAACGCTTGTTCTGCATTGATTGTAATTAAACTTTTTCCTCGCTCAATGGAAAACGTATGATCAATTAATCATTCCCTAGAACCTAATAAATATTATTTAATATTTAACTACGCGTATTTCATAATCATTTCTATATAATCCTTACAATCGTATATTGTAGCTCCAGACTTTGATTGTAAAGAGTTAACCTGTTTCGATATTCGATGCACAGACTTAACATCTTCCTCTCAACAATTACAATATAGTTATAATTAAAAGTTTCGAATTTAATTAAGTGTAGGCAGTTGTGACAGATCGCGCAAAATCCTATGGCTAGGGGTTAATCGTTGTATTTGACAGAAGCGTGCATAGCTTGAAGTAATACTTCATTTAACCTTTAGCTCCTCCATTTTCAGATTGAGAAGTTGTAAGGCTGGTCATGACTCGTGTATTCGAGGGATTGTTAACATCTCATTTGACGATTATTCACTCTCGAATATATTATTTATGCTTTAGATAGATTTAGCAACAACTCGCACGTTGATCCATGTTTCTTTTGGAAAATGTATATGCGGATACATAGTGTTTATTGTTTAAATAGGAAGCGAGAAGAAATATTATTCTTCTTACTTCTCACGATGAAGAAAATCGTGAAGATGTGAACATGTAAAAAAAAGACGTTAAATATTTTTTAATCTTTTGCTGTATAAAATTTAACGTGACAAAGATTTTAATATAAATCTACTAAACACGAATGTTATTTTATGCTTTTAATCCACTGGATGTTCGCGTCGAGAATACGTACTCGCTGTGAAATCATGACAATTTTGTGAGAAAAAAACTTGTTTTTACCTAAAGCGATAGCAAACTGATTTATATATATGGATATAAAAAGGGAAACTTCAAAATTTGATTTCTTCTTCTCAAATTTTGAATTTTCCTTTTTCACACATCTGATCATTTAGTGCGAAACTATTTTTGACCCCAAATGTTGGTTATTTGTTTTGTTTATGAGTTAACCAAATTCTACATATTGCAAACGATATTAATGAATCCAATAAAAACACAAACCAGTTTTATAGCAAGTGCGCTTACTTTGTTTTAACGGAGACGAAGCAGGTATTAATCTTTACTTTAACATAGATCTATTTTATCGTCGCACAAGATCTCAACAATAAAGTAACTTCATTGAGCGTAAATATGAAGACAGTTTTGACTTAAAAGATTACGTATACAGCTTGAATTCCTATTTAGAGATCACTAATGGAAGCACAAGAATGACACATAGTTTATTCTATCTCTAAACAGGCACCGAAAAGAATGTAGTTCAATGTTTGAGTAATATAATCTATCAGAAAATAGTCGATCGAACACGCCGAGACAACGTTGAAATCAAATATTCACTATTACACAGGATCGAGCGACAAAATAAAATTTTCCTTTCAACCAGTACCTTCCACTCGCCAATCCCTTCGGTGTGACTCACTAACGGGTTCACAATGCTGAAACTGGCGACACTTGTCAAGGTCCGCCTCCTTATAGTTGCATAAAGAGCTCAATGATATCTCTTTAGGCTGTTCGAGCAATAATTCTACCGTCTACAGCGGAATCATGCTTCGTCCATATTAGTCGGAAACCCGAATCTGCGTGGAGGTAACGAGTGTAGAAAATGAGTTCATCTTGTTTTTTGATTTCAAGAAACCGGTTCCAGTTTATTGCCCGATATGCAAACCGAATGTTAACAAACAGTCGTGGCACGCTGTGTACAACGTATGTAAGACGGCATATCATAATATTACCTTTCCCCTAAAAGTTGGCCGCAATCCATAACCTCGTACGATTTTCATGAAAATTTCGATGTTTTTAAGTTTCCTCAATTCGAATATGTTATGAAAAATGTAAAATTCAAAGTGGAAAATCAGACACTCCTGGCATAAACATCGTTTTTAACTCATTTATGATGGACATCAATAATTTTCCGATATTTAGATATAATTATACAGGGTGGACCACACAACGTGATTATTATTCTGTTGCTAATGGTTCGATTGAAAATCTTTTAAGCTAAAATAACATGGTTCAAGGAGAG